TCTACTTTTGTTGGAGCTCAGTCAATTTCTTAAGTCAATTGTATGTTTTAATTTCTTTTATGTAGTTTGTTTTAATAGGAAAAATAACTTTGTATTTTACTGTAAGTGAATTACCTTACAGTGTGTTTAGTGTGTTTGTATTTTAGTGTAAGTGATTGCCTTGAATTAAATATGCCTGTAAACTTGTATGATAAGTTACAAGTTATTGAGAATATGCCCGTATTATAAACACATAAAAAGGTTTACTTTCTTATTGACCTACACAAGAAAGCGAAGTGTACTAAAATAAATTGCAACGGAACAAACTATTTCTGTGTCCACCGTCATGTTAACTATAGTTGGAAAGTTTTAGACTTGCAATGTGGCCCATTATATCAAATATCATTATAAATTACCAGACATCGAACGGTAATTGACAAAGGTTCATAATAAGACAATACAAATAAAAACATAATCATAGTTGTAATTTGATTATTAAATATAACACAATATGTCCTTAATGAAAAACCTGTTTGAAGTCCTTCATAACAATCCGACCCATTTGGCGAAGGGTCACTTGAATATTCATGCACTAGTTTGCCTTTCTAATTATTAGGCTACTATACAGAGTTTCTATAAAAAAAACGTTTCGGGACTTTGGGAAATGAGTCCTCAAACTAAAATGAAGAAAAAACTTTTGGTAAGATATGTCCGAAAATGAATGTTTACCCAGATATGCGCAGTTTTGTTTTTATCTAAATATATTTTTATCTGTGAAGCCTTTCAACTGATGATTATGAAACTTGGTAAGCATGTTAAGGAACACAAGGCCTATTATAAAAAAAATAGTAAAATCTTTCTGATTATAAGTTTCAAAATGGCGGCCAATTACCTAAATAGCTCAAAAATGGATAACAAATCCAATGACATTTTTTCATCTTTAATTCCCTATCAAACGATACCAAGATCAAAAAGATCAGACGACAAAAAATTACTTGAATATATCGTGTTTTAGTTGTAAGGTTAGGCAAAATGAAGTGCACCCCGACTTATTTTTAGCCTACACCAAAAACTTTGTATTTCAGCTATTTTCGTCAGATCTTGGAATCTTTTTAAAGGGAATTTAAAATGCAAAAAAGGTGTATTAGAATTTTTTTACTACCTATTTTTGAGCTATTTAATTAATAAAAACATAAACGACCACCATTTTGAAATTTCTAATCGGACTTAATAACTACGAATTCCAAATAGTTAATAACTTCATATATCGAGGCATTTTACTATCTTATAGATATACAAAAGTCATAGAAATTCAGAATAGGATAAATGCCTAAAATATAAGTTGGCATTCATGTGGAAAACTTATTAAACCAAAGCTGTTATCAAGGGAAACAAAAATTAGAATCTACAAAACAATAATTAGATTAGTACTCTTATATGGAGGGGAAAATTGGATCCTGAGCAAAACCACGGAAAAAAAGATTATAACCCTTGAGAATAAAGTTCTAAGAACTATAATATGATCCAGTGTGTGAAGATAGAATATGGAGAATCCGCCACAATCAAGAGTTAAGAGAATCATCCCGGGACCCCGATATTGTAGGAGAGGCCCAAAGCAGAAGGCTAGAGTAAGTTGGCCATATCTTGAGGAGAAATGAGGAGAGCTTGTTGAAGAAGGTACTAAGGGGAAATCAATGGGGAAGGAGACCAGTAGGATGACCAAAGGCTAGGTGGTGGGACCAAGTCACGGAGGATATGGAAAAGATGAGACTAGTAGAGGAAGATTCGGAGGACCGATAGAATTGGCGTCAAAGTGTTGGCTAGGCCAAGTACCAGCTTGGGTTCAAGTGGCCATGGCAGTAAGTAAGTATGTAATTGACTTATATCAAATGTATTAGATATGTCAAATTCCACAGTTTCCATAACAAGTTCTGCCCTCAGCAAGGGGTTTAAGTTAATTTCTTACCAGCTAAAAGAAAAATACTTTTTGACATATTTGTTGTTTGATTTACAGAGAAAATTTCCAATAGATAATTCAAGTTATAAGGTAAAATGCTGGTGTTCTACTTCTCACTTTGCCTTTCAAAGTAGTATTTAACCTTACTGAAATCCACAATCTGCGAATGGGTCCCCTTATTTGTTATAAATTGAATTAGTCCATTCATTTATAACAAGATACATCCATGCACCAAGTATATGTAAGTTCAACTTTGTTATATATTAATACGTATAACGTTATGCTTGTCGAAAATATAATAAATATTGAGTTAAAATTCGTTATATTTATTTATAAGTAATGAGAAAACTATATTTTGTGGAATACTTTTACGCCTATGTTTCTACTAACACAATTTTGTGAACAGTTTTGCCAATAATTCAATTGTATATTTGAAGACAGCATAAACGATCTGCTGAGGACAGAAAGAGCTGTTTTAGACGTGACCACTGGCCCTTTGATCTCAGACAATGACAGAGAAAAATATATCCACCACTGATGATAAGGTTTGTGGTATATAACATCAAAAGGGTTTGCGAAAACTTTATCAGATCCATGCCAGCTTCTAAAAATTAGATTTCAGGAATATATTTGTTTTTTTTTATATGCGTGTTCAAGTATATCTAACAACAGTTAAATATCGACAAGTTGTGCATGGTATAGAATAGTGCTCTTTTCCTAAACACGCGTTCTTTCAGTCCACTCGGCAAATCATTATTTTAAAGATTTTACCAAATTTTTTAATTTTTTCTTAAATGATGCGTATATTGATTTGATAAGAAATTCAGTATAAAGTTATAAGGATTACAACAATATACAATTAATAACTGCACACGTCATCACGACATGCTCCGTACCATTTAACAATATTTTACGTTTTTAATATCCTAAATGTTCAAATTGTGAGAGTGTATATGTCTTATTTATTGTTTATTATCAATTGACGACCTTCATAATAGGAAGTGAGAAGACATCTTGACTGGAATGAGAATTACTCCTTTGTGAGTACCGGTTGCCATACTACAACGCACTGGATGGCACAAATACAGGTATTCGGTGTCAATTTATAGTATTTAAATGCGATCAGGGGCTAAGATTGAATATAATAAAATATTTTTGTAAAATCTAATCAGACTGAAATTTGCTGCGGCTAAAGTCTGCCACAATCCTAAAAGTATCTTTTTTCAATTATCTATCATTATTAGTATAATTGCATCCTTAGAATATTTAAGGTTATGTAATAATTTATTATTGTTTGAAATAATCTAAAATCGCTTAAAAATAGCTTGCAAAGCGGACGCAGACTGTTACATTGTTGGGGCAGACTTTCGCCGCATGCCTCGGTATGCACTGCAACTAACCTCCAGTTGTCACGTATAACTAATGCTGCCATATCTCAGTTAAAATCCGCCCAATATTAAAATAATAATGTGTCCATTGAATTGTAATTAAATTGTATTAACAAAGTTATTCTTGTAAATCTTTTGTAAAGTCAACGGTTTTCGAGTCATTTAAGAGAGAAAGTTTTAAATGGCCACCATTTTGGATTGGTACAATTTATAAACCTGATACTTAATGCAAAGATTAGCCTTACCTGTCAATACTTACGTACCAAGTTTCAAGTCAATCGCTTAAGGAGTTCGAAAGTTACGGATTCATTAGTGAAAATCACATACAGACGGACAGCCGGAAATCGAGGCTCCGTCGAACCATATTTATAATGTATAAATTAGTCATCAGCTGTTTGATATTGTGAACATTTTTATTTGTTTATCTTTGGATGATTTTTATTGATTCTTGTAGTCATGGAGAAATCAATATTTACCAGAGTTGGATTGTTCTGATGTGTAAAAAAATGTTAGTTTGTTAAAGCATTAAATATCTTAATTATTTTTTTAATTTGCATGTTGATTTAATTACAAGCTATTTCGGCATAATGTCAGGTACTGGTGTTAAGTTCTCAGACTTGATTAAGCAGTATGATGGAAGTGGTGATTTTAGTGAGTGGTTAAAGAAACTAGAATTGGTATGTAAGCTCCAAAAGGTGAAAGACTTGCAGACAGTTCTCCCCCTATTTTTGGCTGGAGGAGCATTTTCTGTATATGACGGGCTAGCAGAAAATGTAAAGAGTAACTATGAGGCTCTCACCAATGCATTGCTGCAGGCCTTTTCTGCGAACTGTTTTCAGGCTTATGCAGAATTTACAGCTAGGCGTCTACTTCCCGGTGAGTCACTAGATGTATATGCTTCTGATTTGAAGAGATTGGCAAAATTGGTGGACCCTTTTGTATCTGATGAGTGGATTAAGAGCGCAGTTGTACATGGCTTGCCAGAAGATACTCAAACCCAGTTGAAAGCTGCGTGTTCTCTTCAAAGCATGGAGTTGTCGGATGTAATGACAAGAGCTAGGAATCTGTTGGGCAGTGAGTCAAACTTTGGGGCGGTTGCACAGGCTAATGCCAAAGTTTTCAAAGTTGGTAAACAGTGGTCTAAAAAATGCTTTGTTTGTGAGAGGGAAGGCCACGTAGCACGTTCGTGTCCCCATCTAAATCGTGAGTCAAAAGTAACCTGTTACCGGTGTGGGGAGGTAGGACATTATGCCTCAAAATGTTCACAAATTCCAAAAAACGAGTGAATGGGGCTGCCTTATGTTGCGCGGGTGGCCCAATTTCTTCAGCGCAACTCCCTACATTAACAATAAGTGTGTCGGGTTTTAAATGCTGTGCCTTGCTGGACTCAGGTTGTTCAAGGAGCATTGTGTCACCTAGTTTAGTGAAATATGGAGTAGAACTGAAGCCAGTAAGTCAAAGGATTATAATGATGAATGGAGAATCAGTTGAGTGTAACATGACATGTATGTTACAAGTTTTGATAAGAGGTGTTCCGCTCAAACTGAGTTGCTTGGTTGCCAGTGTATTGCCAAGGTATCAGATGCTTCTAGGGATGGATGCAGTGACTGCAATGGGGAGGTGTCACTATTGATGGAGATGGCACTATTACGTTCAGGGACGTTGATATCGGAGCGATGGCTGAGGCCAAGAAGGAGTTGTGCGTGAAGGAAACCTCGGAGAATGGCAACGATGAGATCGCTATTAATGATTGTGACTTTAATGCGAAATTTGTTGATGGAAAATGGACCGTTGAATGGAATTGGAAAGATGGCGGTAAAACACCTAAGATAAATAACCAAGTACCTTCATACTCAATTTCAAAAGAGGCAAGGGAGGCGTTTGACGCTGAAGTGCATGATTGGATAAGAGACGGTTGGCTCCAGCCTTATGACGGGGAGTTTGATGGCTTAATTCCTTTAATGGCGGTCGTGCAACATAACAAGGACAAAGTGCGACCTGTAATGGATTACAGGGAATTAAATCAGTATGTTTCAAGCCATACAGCAGAAAGTGAGGTTTGTGGGGAAAAGCTAAGGATGTGGAGAAAGCTAGGAGAACATGTGAGCACTATCGACCTTCGTAAGGCATATCTCCAAATCCATATTGCTCCTCATTTATGGAAATTCCAAGTGGTCCGATTTAAGGATAAGAATTATTGTCTAACACGACTCGGGTTTGGTCTAAATGTCGCACCGAAAATAATGAGCAAAATTGTTAATAAAGTTCTGTCAATGGACCCAATAGTCCGAAGTGCTACGGACTCTTATGTTGACGACATAGTGGTGAATGAGAACATTGTTGGCGGTGATGTAGTAAAGAAGTTGTTGGAAAAATATGGGCTGTCAGCGAAACCAGTGGAGCCACTTGATGGAAGTAGGGTTTTGGGGCTTAACGTCTCAAAAAGAGATGGCAAGTTGATGTGGACCAGAGACAACAAGATAAAAGCTTTGGATAAAATTGAGACCAAGAGGGATGTGTACTCCTTGTGTGGGCAGTTAATCGGACATTTCCCGGTGGCTGGTTGGCTTCGACCAGCATGCAGTTTTCTTAAGAGGCAATTGACAGATTTGAAATGGGACGATGTGGTGGGCAACCGAATCAAGATAATGTTAGGAGATATAATGGAAAGCGTAAAAGAAAAGGATCCTGTGTTTGGAAAATGGGCAGTGTCATCTAGTGACAAAGGAACTGTGTGGTGTGATGCTAGCAGCTTGGCGATCGGTATTTGCATTGAAATTGATGGTGAAATAGTTGAGGACGCGTCTTGGCTAAGGAAAGAAGATGATTCGGCGCATATTAACTTAGCTGAGTTAGAGGCTTTGTTGAAAGGAGTGAACTTAGCTTTGAAATGGAATTTGAAGGAGTTATACTTGGTCACAGATTCGGCCACCGTTTATGCTTGGGTAACATCCATATTAACAGGAGACCGACGTATTAAAACACATGGGATGGGTGAAGCTCTTGTAAGAAGACGGTTGGGTTTGTTAAAAGACCTCATATCAGAATGTGGCCTTAAGGTGAGGATGGATCTGGTTAAATCGCAATTTAACAAAGCAGATCGCCTGACGAGAGTTCCTAAAAAGTGGTTGGCAAGAGAGGAGGAAAAGACCAGTATTGCAATGATGGGTGAAGAAGAGGAGGAAAAGACCAGTATTGCAATGATGGGTGAAGAAGAGGATGAGGATAAACAAAAGTTGGTCAAAAGAATCCATGGTCTGCATCACTTTGGTGTTAATCGAACTCTTTTCACAGTTAGGCGTTGTTACCCAGCCGTTGAGTTTAGTAAACAGGACGTTGACTGCGTAGTCAAATCATGCAAAGAATGTTTATCTGTTGATCCATCCCCCATCAAATGGAAGCCGGGGCACTTGGATTGCGACAAGAATTGGCACAGGCTTGCGATTGATGTGACTCATTATGGGTCATATAAATTTCTTACAATTATAGATTGTGGTCCAAGTCGGTTTTGCATTTGGCGACGGATCCCAAGTGAGACTAAAGAACAGGTAGTAAAAATCTTACTTGAACTGTTTTCAGAACGAGGTCCACCCCAAGAACTATTAATGGACAATAGTGCAACATTCAGATGTGAACAAATTGAACAACTGTGTGAGGAATGGGGGGTTATCCGTCGTTTTAGGTGTGTGAACCGTCCGTCCGGCAATGGAATCGTTGAACGAAACCATAGAACGATAAAGAGAATGGCAACAAGAACCAGAAGAAGTGTTCAAGAAATGGTATATTGGTATAATCTAACACCAAAAGAAGATTTGAATGAAGAGTCGACACCAAGCTCTAGATTGTTCTGCTACAGGTGGAGGTGTAAGGGCGAACCTGTAAATTGTGACGAGCAACTAAGAACTGAGTTTTCACCTGATGAACCTGTGTTTGTCAAGCCTAAAAATTCCTTATGTACTACGAGATGGAAGCCTGGTGTGGTCTCACGGCAGCTCTCACAAACCAGCGTAGAGGTTGATGGTATGCCACACCATATTGCTGATGTTCGTCGTGCTGGTGTTGACACCACGGGGGCGTGTGCTTGTGATATAAATTAGTCATCAGCTGTTTGATATTGTGAACATTTTTATTTGTTTATCTTTGGATGATTTTTATTGATTCTTGTAGTCATGGAGAAATCAATATTTACCAGATTTGGATTGTTCTGATGTGTAAAAAAATGTTAGTTTGTTAAAGCATTAAATATCTTAATTATTTTTTTAATTTGCATGTTGATTTAATTACACTTTTATTAACCCATGGAACAATCCTGTGAAGTTTTTCGAAAGAGTTCACAAACACCCTACTGTAATCATCATAAAAAACTAAACGTCAACGTACGTATGATGGGAAAAATAAATCCGACATGTGTACCGAACTATGCATGTTAATTCAAATAATAACTGGCTACAGGTTTTATAACCTTAAACCTTAAACATATTTTGTTTTCATTAATATAATATAGCAGATCTATTTTTCTATATATTTAATGGGTCTTTGAGAATTTCATTTTTTTCGTCATTGTTAATAAATGTCCAGTAAATTGAATAGATTTGTCACTTACTCAATATTACCATTTTCTTATTAATTATGATAGATGTATCGTGGATACAATTATAGCATAGTTATACGTTGCAATTGTGGAATAGTTCATGCTTGATGAATATACTAAATATGTTCTTGAACGATTTAAAGAATTTACAAGAATTTTAGAATTTACATAGTCATGGTAAAATCAAAGAAGTATTCATAGAGCCAGTGACGGTAGATCTGGCTTTCATGCTCCCAAGTGACAGCACAGTGGCGGGTGTGACACTTATTTCAAATTATGATGTCATCCGTTCCATATTTTATGTTGTTCTCCCAACGTTGAGGATCTCACATGAAAAATCTCGGAAAAGAGTAAGGAGTCTGTACTTTTCCTGTACTTTTTCTGTACTTCGGTTTGACATTTTATCTCTTAACAAATTAACTGACAAAATCGTATGACTACTGGCATAAAGTTAATAAAGGCAAAAATAAACCTTTTTTAACGTGAAAGATAAAGTTTATATGAAATTAACGGTTTCACAGTAAGTTAAATAAATAACATGTATAACCAGCAAAATAAAACTATCAGGATTGATAACCTTGTAGTTGTAATTACATGCAGAACTCTTCTTTAGTAGTATATCCATTAACACAAGCGACGAACTTATACGAAAATCAACTTTTTGATGGCAAAATGATGGTCGAATACTAATGGAAACCCTCTTTGTTTAGAAAGTAAAGACTAATTTGAATTGACTTAATTGATTTATACGATTAAATAATACAGAAAATTCTGTTAAATTGGTTTGAGATTACTTAAAAGGGAAATAGTAAAGGAAAAACGTACAGGTTCTGAAAAAAATCATACTATACTGTATTATTTTTAAAGTAAATTGTCAAATGAAGAGTGTTTTTAACGCAACCGAAATAACAACTACAGTACCAGGAGAATCGTTGATAGATCGCAAGCTGAAATAGAGAATCTATTACAGGCCTCAATATTGTTTTTTGTCGAGCGGGAGGTGGGTTCTAATGACCTGGTGTCAATTAATTTTGACGAACAGTTGTTTTTTCAAGGTAATGAAATCACACATATAAACTTAATTTTCGAAATTTTATGGCATGAAAACAATGATTTACTTTTAATGTACAATACATACTATTGAGCTTGCCAAAACACCATATTTATATCTTATTCACAATAAATTCCTAATAACATCTAACTATAGCCATCAATGCTCAGCACCTAAGTGACGAGTAACAAAACGGCTTTAGGTAATAGTATATTACGTTACTAGTCCTGAAAATAGGTGTTTACCAGACAAGTTTGGTCGTTCCTGTGCGAGAGAAAAACGAGTCCGGTAAACATATTTTGGACGAGTGAGGTATGATATTTTACGCCATACTACTAAATCTGTACAAATCCTCATATATTACCACTGATTAAAGGACTAACAATCACTAGTCATACTCTCTAAGAGGGGTTATGTTTTTTTCTATAACCACTAATTGTCAAATATAGTATAATCAGCCGTTTGGTGTCCGGTAAAAACTCATTACAGTACAGTAGTACGTAATGAAACCCCATTTGCTGGTGGCAAACAGCTGTTTTCCGGACCACATCCTTGCGTGGGAAGTTCGTCAAAATAGTATAGTGTAGCGTAAAGGGTATTACTGCTGTCGACTATTAAGTTTGTTCTCATTTGTTTGTTATCGAGCTAAATTTCACATTTACCTCGTAGATATATTTATAATATCTCTTTTAGCGAATTTCCCATATAGGGAATAAGCTATTACCGTAGTACTCATGGTAAGACCTGGACCCGAGACCGATTTAATTTTTCATTTTGAGGTCCCTAGAGGCCAAAAACACCATCCGTTCAAATTCATATATATATATATATATATATTTATATATATATTTATATATATATTTATATATATATTTATATATATATTTATATATATATATATGTGTCCGTTAGCGCGATAACTCGAGCAAAAATGATCCGATTTTGATGAAATTTGGTACAAACGTGTAAACCTACGTTTATTCGAACGAGTTCGCGATCCAGCATAATCGGACCATGGGAACGGGGGTTTATGGGGGGTTTTATGGGGTAAAAATGGGTTTTTCCCATTTTTGAACCTGAAAACAAAAAATTTTGCGATTTCTTTCTAAACCGTTTTGTAGAGCTTAAAAAAAGAAATAATTTTGTATATTGAAGCGCTGTTGTATGCCTAACGGTCATGGAGAAAATTCAAAAATAGTGTAATTAAAAATTCCCATGTTATTCTTATGGAGAAAATGAAAATTGTTGTAGTTTACTTGTTTATGGGTATATATTAATAAAATTTGGCAAATTTATTTATTTCATCCTAAACTATTGACGTATGGTCAAAAAACACTTTTTATCTTCCCCGTAGCAGCAAACCTAAGCACTCGTTAAATCTAATGTTATTTAAATAGGGAATAATATGTCTTATTTATGGAAATATTTTAGTAAAAATGTAATCAGACGAGTTGAAATTCGCTTAGTCTGCAGGTTTGCTGCGGTGGGGGTATTTTAAGTATATATATTTTAGAATATCTTTTTTTGGAATCACATTAGTGTCGTTAGTTGTATTAAACGTTTTAAAATACTTCAAACGAATAAACATCGTTGTGTACATATTTAGTATTGCCAGTAAAGGCACTTTTACTTTAACAATACTCGTGAAAAGAGCAATACATGTCATTCAAGATTTTTAAGTTAAGAATGTATAGACAAGAAAGTATTGATAACACTAAAACTATTCTAACAATACTTTTAAATAAACTGAAACGTTGCACACTGCATGCTGCAACTGTACATACTTTAAATGGCTGATTGACAGTTTGATTGTAAATTAATTATCAAATTAATATTTTCTAATAAAATACTAAGAACGGTATTTCCATTATTAGTTACTTATGTAAAATATTTCAATGAATACTAGGTTATCGATCTGCACTTACTAATGTGTACCTGTAAGTATAGTTCCACTGTTTCAGACAGTACTCGAAAGATTAAAGGATAAATTGCTAATGGATATTATTTTGATACGGTACTGAGAATACCTTTATAAGAAAATACGCTATACCTACAAAGTACTCAAAACAGGTTAGTTTGATCCATAAAACCATAATAAAAGTCGATGATTTGATACGTTTGAGGTTGTGTAAGATTATCATTTCGATAAAGTAATATTTCCTCATCAGTTTCAATATGAAGATTTAAATCAAGAATCAACCTTCAGAACCTGCAGCTTTTGGCAATATTGGTTCCAATTCCTTTTTGATTGAACATTAAACTAGTGATAATACTTAATCAATAAATTATTATAGATATTACCAGTTCTCGTAAGATAAGGGAAAACGTTCTGTTTCAAGAGCAGAAAAATTATCATATATTTTTTTCAATTACGTTTGGTTAAAAAACATCAATTTGGTTTACAACATTTTTATTTCCTCTTTTATATCTATATTTTTTTATATTATAGTAAAAATAATACAATTTAAGTCAAGATTAACACAAAAACTGATAAAGATTAACAATCTTACTAACACTCGTCATTAATAACATGTTATGATGTTAGTCTAATATTTAATTATTTTTATGTAAATAGAGGGAAACTCACTATGAAACTTAAACGTATGTATTTTTTATTACTTTTCATGTCAATGAAACGACCAACACATTGGATGATTATTCACAAGCTCAAAGTTTTGAGTTTGAGTGAAATCACCGTCTAAAAAATAAAACATGCATCGTAATAGATGTTCTACACGAAAGACCTAAGTACCTTTACATAGTGTGAAATACAAAACTTAGTTCAATACATGACTCTGGTCGACGAAAGTAAAAATAAAATAGATCACAGTTGTCAGTTACAAGGGTAACTTTATTTCTTTTGACATTAGTAATTTAGTTGTTAATCTTTACCTTGAAAACCCCACCGTATGCGCTTAAATCGTTATTGAATGTGTACCAGGACTTTGAATGAATATCGGTTCCTAACCTTTTAGCAGACGGTAATACATTAGGCCTTCCGTTTTCTTGGCGTGGAACGCATTTTACGTTCTCAACCATAAATGAAGCTGTAAAAGGCAACCCTGCTGCCTACTGGGAATAACTTCCTTACTCATAAGGGATCTTGTACAATAGATTTATGAAATGGGTTTTCTATCAACATAAAGTTACAGAGTGTAATGTGTCTAATGTTTCATTTTTATGTACTTGATATTTTCTAATAATTACTGCTGTTGTAAAGTCAATTGTATTGCTACCAAAAAAGATGAAGATCAGAAAAAGAATACATGATTGATTTTAGAATAGATGATTGTAAAAGAATACATTAGGAGTAAACGAGAGCACGCCCCGTTGTCGAAAAATCGACCAAAAGTATGTTTTGTGCAAACTTCTCTATTTTCACCCTACACTGTAAATAAAACATGTGATTGGAATGTCATCCATATGTTTTGATTTTCTGTTTATATTTTATTGTT